TGTGTGTGTGTGTGTGTGTGTGTTTGTGTGTGTGTGTGTGTGTGTGTGTTTGTGTGTGTGTCTGTGTGTGCGTGCACTACCAGGTACATGAAAGGACGCGTGTCCTACGACCAGCTGAACGCAGCCGTGCAGAGCATCAACCTCACCGTAACGGCCAAATATAAGATCGTGCACCAGCCGCTGAAAACGCTCAGCAACCACGCACGAAAACTGCACCAGCGCTTTAAGGACCAGGAGACCAAAGACACCAAAGGTGGTCGTTATTCTTTGACACTTGCTGAATGATACAGTGGGAGAAATAAGTATTTGACCCCTTGCTGATTTTGCAGGTTTGCCCACTTACAAAGAATGCCTATTTTTCCTCATCAGATGGTTATCAATTTTTATAAATTCATATGATGTGATTTTCTGGAATTTTCTTTGGGATTCTGTCTTTCACTGTTAGAATGTACATATGATTAAAGTTATAGATCGTTGCATTCTTTGTAAGTGGGCAAACCTGCAAAATCAGCAAGGGGTCAAATACTTATTTCCCCCACTGTATATAAGCTCGGAAAATGTTCTTTTTGTTATAGCATCAATTAATATAAAGGTAATTCAAAGACACAATCCAGTTATAGGTCATCCCAGTACAATTTGCTGCATTACAGTCAGAATACAATCAACTTTAATCATCAGTCCAACTCATATAAAGCCATTTTTTAAAAATTTTAAACCAACAGATTGGCCTGCTACTCTTCATTAAACCGTCCTGAGTGGGCCGAATGCTATTGAGGAAAGAAAAACTCTCTTTGAACAGGTTATGGTTGGGAGTAATATCCAACTATGAGTTCTTAAATAGATGATGGAGCTGCTCACTCAGAGTTTAGATGTGAGGAGCAGAACTTTAGGTTCTGTTCTGGATCCAAAAGGGAGCCAATGAGGAGAAGAAGCTGAAAGTGGAGGAATCTGATCTCTGCTGCTGGTTCTCATTTAACAAATAAACAAATGCATTATTCTGTAAATCTTTTTGGGTGTTAACTTTCCCTGATGGCAGTGAAGTAGGTGAGAAGGACAGCAGAGATGAAAGCAAAAGACAACAAAGCAGGACATCCATCCGTCCATTTTCTAGTCTTTACAACGCTTTGTTTAAATGTCTTGCAGGTCAGTTTTTTATCGTGGAGGACGACATCCGCGAGTTTGCCCAGACGAAGGTGGACAAACGCTTTCAGGGGATCTTAAACATGCTCCGACACAGCCAGCGCCTGAAGGAGCTCCGGGGGGGGCGACTGGTCCGCTACATGCTGCTATGATGCCACACTGCCTTTCCTTAAAAATGACGATTAAGTATATTTGGAAATGTGTCAGTTAGTCCGTGTTAGTCACAATGTGAGGCAGATAGTTCCACATTTGGATGACCAGGCTGTAAACAAAATTGTATAAAGTATATCATTCCTTCAGAATAGAATAGACTATTGTATCATCTAACCGGATCTGTACATACTTTCCACCAGAATTTAGACTTAGAAGTGGGATGTACGGTAAATAAAGGTGTGTAATCTGTTGATCTATACTAAGCTTTGTAAATAAATTGCAATCCAACTGCAGTTTGTCTTATTTTTTTGAGTAGTCTGACACATTTCAGTTTTTGTTTAAAGTGGGGAGATGTAATAAAGCTGATTACGCTCTGTTACAAAGATCACAGTAAATATGGCATGTTCTTAGTTCTCTGCTTTATTCATTTGGATATTCATAGTATCTGGCTTTCTTGGGGTTAGGGGGTCAGATGCTGGGCACCGACTCTGTCCACAGGAAAATGGCACATGACAGTCTTTGGGCATGACAAAACTGCTTGTGTTGGTGTGTTACAGTTAAAATAATGTTTCTGTCATCTCAGAATTTTTAGATCAGTTCTTTCACTGTATTTTTAGAGAAAACCTGAAATTTCAAATACATGATTTTACGTTTTCTTGTTATTTCACACAATTTCTTGCTTCTATAACATAAGAATACTAATACCTTGATAGATTTTTACAGTTGAACTCATCAAAAGGTGTAACACACCAGACATTTATTTGTTGACTTATTGATAAATAAACAGAAAAAAGGTGGACTTTTAATGTTACAATGTAAAAGGGTTAAGCATAAACTCTATCGATATAAAAAACGTTTTTAAAACTACTATTGTTTGTTAAAACAAACATATAACTGTTACTGATTTTATAGAAAATATATGTCAAAGATTATTCTATGGTATTGCTCCAGTTGAAATTCAAGACATCTTTTCGATGTCAATTTCAATATTTTTTATTTTATTTTACATTAATATCTGCTTAAATAATGCTTTGACGTCACATAGATGCGACGCAGCCATACCTTTTCCTGCCGGTACTGCGCATGCGCAGTCAGAGGAGTCCTTGGTTCATCGGCCTCCTGTAGGTTACTCGTTTTCTGACAGTCAAAATGCAGAGCTGGACGCAGCTTTACCGATCTCTGGCCACGGTAAGGATGTCAAGCATGTCACCTGTGGGTTCCCTGTGTGTTCTGGAAATGTTTAAACGTGGCCATGTTTGCTGCTAATTACGAGGATTCTAGAAATGTCCAAGGTTTAGCAAGCTAGCAGCTCTTGGCAGCTGAAGTCGCAGCGTCACACGCCACAGAGTAAACTTTTAATATGTAGACAAATCTCCATTTGTCATATAGAGTATCTACCTACATATATATGTATTTTATGTATATTTTGAAGCCATGCTATGTTAATATTAATTCGGCATACAAGGAAAAGACCATGGTGCCCTTTAAAAGAGTTTAATAGGTTTGTTGTTGCATGTTTCCACAGTGTTGTTTTGGTAAACGTATTAAGAAATAATGTCAGATCTGCTCCTTTTCACGGGAAATCAGGTCAAAATATTACACAACTGAATTGTAGTTTGGTTTTTGTCCTAAAATTGGATTCGTCAAAAAGGATTTTTGGATCGTTTCATTGAAATGTTAGCATGCTAGCCATGCTAGCATTGGTTACCTAACTCTTGATTTAGTCTTGTGTCGTAAGCAGATAACATAATTTATAACCTATCCGCTTTCATTAATGGAATTAAACAGTTAGCTGCTCCTGTGGTTTAGCACGCTTTATATAACTAAATACATTTACCTAACTGTCACCGTCCAAATAGTTAGAATAGATACAAAGCATTTTATATTTTGTCTGGTCCAGTTTGGCAAACTTTTTGACGATTCCCTTTCTTAAGATCCTAATGCAGCATTTAGTATTTCATTTAATAGAAATGTTAATAAGAATAAGTCTACTCTGTAAATTAGTTTAGTAGTCTCTTAATGTAAGGATGAAACACTGCAGTAAACATTGGTTTTAGTTGTGTCCACCTCCTTTTGGCCAAAGGAGTAGGTCACATTATAAAGCTAGATTGACTCATCTTATGTTGGTGATATTATTATTATTATTTTTTAAACCCTTTTTATGATTTGTTTCACAGCGAGGCCACAATCTTCCCTGCAAACTGCATGGAGCTGCAGTCGTTCCCGCCAGAACCTACGCCGACAAAGCAGCGAGTAAGAGAGTAATCCCATCTTAATCTTTCTATTAACCCCAAGGACCTATTTGCATTCAGTGCAATAAATAAGTGGGGATCCTTTTTTTTTGTGGTCCATCTCAGTTTATCACACTCTGATCCAGTTCAGCTCCTGGAATAGCGGTCAGGTGACAGGAAGGATGCTCTGGTCACTCTTTATTTTCACCCCTCGGAGGGGTACCCCACTTATGTGTCTGTCCGAGAAACTTTTTTTTTTTTTTTTAAACAAATTTTTTATTATTTTTTCAGAAATAATACAGCGTGGTACAAATGTACATGTGTATTTTTATACTTTTAAACATAAACCCCCCCCCACAAACAACAGGGTGATTTCAAGAGTATGAAAGGTAAAAGTTCCAGACTTTGAGAGTTTGAAAAAAAAGAAAGAAACAAAAAAAAACACCATTGCATTATTAATGGTACCACGGATCTCCAACGTTTAGTGAATATGGGTATTTGTAGTCTCAGAGAATATGTTATATGTTCCATTTGGTATATATCCCAGACTTTCTGAATCCATATATTGTAGGAAGGAGGCTCAGGTTGGAGCCATCTGATTGTTATACATTTTAGAGCAGCTTTTAATAATATATTCAAAATATATTTTTCATCTCATGTAATAATAGTCGTAGGTGTTACTCCCAATAAGTTAATGTCTGTACAGAATGGGATTTTTAGTTTGAAGATTACTTTTAGGGCATCAAAAATGTCTTTCCAAAACAGATTTAATTTAGGGCATTGCCAAAATATTTGTGTTTGATTAGCATTATCAGTTCCACATTTTCTCCAACATAATCCTGAGAACATCGGTCCAATCCGGGAAACTTTTACATGAGACTCTATTGTGAGGAGAAAGGGTTTAGCCTGAAATGAAGCAGTCAGGAGCTGCTAAATGCATGTCCATCTCCATGTCCAGATATAAAGTTTAAGGCAAAGTGTCGGCACTTATTTGAACTTTTTCTTAGATTTAGACTTAGACTTAGACAGAACTTTATTGTCCCTTGGGAAGAATCCCTCAGGAAATTAAGGTTACCAGCAGTTTAGAGGGGGCAAAAAGTATTAAGTTAAATTAAATTAAGCAAAAAATACAAAAAAATAACAAAAATAAAAAAAAAATAAAAACACACAAAAAATACAAAAAATACCAAAAAAATAAATAAAAAAAAAATAAAAAATACAGATTAAGTACAGTGTATATAATAGGAGTTGTGTGTATGTAATATGGGAGTTTGGCAGATAAATTGACCAGTGATATGGCTTTTCTTATCCTCTGTGTGTGAGTGAGTGATTAGATGTTTATGCTGCTCTCTGGTTTTTCAATCGGGATGCAAACAGTTTTTTTTTTATTTCTGTCCGTAGTTGACGCAGATGTGACGGTGGTGGGTTCAGGTCCCGGCGGCTACGTGGCTGCCATCAAAGCTGCACAGCTGGGCTTTAAGGTAGGCCTCACCCCTCCCGTCCCCATTCGCCATCTTCTCTACCTCTTCTATTTTTGTAAACTGTGCTAATGCGCACGTTTCCCTTCAAAGACGGTCTGTGTGGAGAAAAACTCCACGCTCGGTGGGACCTGCCTCAACGTGGGCTGCATCCCCTCAAAGGTAAAAAAACGGGTTTATTCCACATCACATCGATTATTTGTAAAGTTGAAAGTCTGCTCAGAAGTTTGCTAAAATTGTATTAAGATAAGATAAGAGCTTTATTGATCTCACAGTGGAGAAATTCACTGGTCACACATCTGTTTAGTGACTAAAGAGAGTTCAAAAGGAGGAAAAGGTGCATAAAGATAAAGTACAAACAGCAAAGACAAACAAATATACAAGGAAGCAACACAGCGCAGAGATTTGAGTGACTAAAATATGGGCAATCACTTAGTTTTATTGGTTTAGTTTTGGGCTGATAGAGGGGGTATTTTTAGTATCAGCTTGGTATTTTCCAGCTTCTTTCTTCTCTCTCAATCTTCTTCTGAGCTGCTACATTTGAGTTTGTCTGTTCACCAAGATGAGCCAAAACAGGAATCAAATTAATTTAAACATGTTTGGAAGTCATCGGATCATCGTGTGGTGAAAATATATTTGGGAAATTTGTTGTTTCAGTCAATGTAAAAAGCTGAAATTTGTATTTTGTAGCCAAGCATCCCACTCCCATGTGAAACGTCACCAAAATTTAATTTCCTCTTGTTGTTCCTGCAGGCTCTGCTCAACAACTCCCATCTGTACCACTTGGCTCATGGCAAGGACTTTGAAAGCAGAGGCATAGAAAGTAAGAGGCTTCTGAGATGCCGTTTTAAAGCCCTGCGAATCAGACCAGACACCAAAAGACCAAAAACCAGTTTATTTACCGTACACCAAATGTCAAAAAAGAAAGAAAGATCCAAGAAGTGTAGTTGCCTTGAATCGAAGCTCGTAATATTCATAACGACTAATTTAATGTTTATGCTTTTATCCAAAGCGACTCACAAAGTAGAATGTATACATGTGTATTTTCCCATTGGGGACACTCACCACGATACTAGCCCCCGATTGGTCGACCAATCTTCATGACTCATTTCCCCCAAAAATCAAAGGATTGCTATTTCATTTGAGTTAATTTTGAGCTTTTTACTTTGCAACTCAAGGGCCAAAACATAAAATGTCACCTGTGTGTCAAAAGTGAAGTAAAATGTTAAATAAACTAAATATTGAATGAATAAATAAAATAAAATGTAATAAATAAAAAAAAGTGCAATCAAATGTGAGAATGTCATTCAAGCAAAAGTACTAATATATTCTTGAATAATCTTATTAATATAAAAGAAAATAGCTAAACATCAATAGGCCCTTATTCCTTATTGACCGTCCAGTTACAACAAATTAAAATTAATTGGATTTTGCATAATACTACTATTTTCTCGTATATCCTATTAATATAAAAGAAAATAGATAAACATAAAAAGGCCCTTGTTCCTTTTTGACCGTCCAGTCACAACAAATTAAAATAAATTCTATTTTACATAATACTGCTATATTCTCGTATATCCTATTAATACAAAAGAAAATAGATAAACATCAATAGGCCTTTATTCCTTTCGGACCGTCCAGTCACAGCAAAAAATAAATAGTTAAAATTTAAAACATTTAAATAAATAAATAAAATAAATGAAAATAAATTGGATTTTACATCTCCTACTGAAATTAACTTCTACAACTGTAAAGTACAAACATGCAGAGTGTCCAACCAACAAAAAATATCCGTGGCTGGACCTCAGCCCGCTGCGTTCCTGTGGTCTGGACAGCTGGACTCTGGTCCTACATCCACATTATTAGGCTAGCAGAAGCTGACCACCGTCTTTTCCCCCTCAGTCTCGGGCATCTCGTTGAACCTGGAGAAGATGATGGCCCAGAAGAGCGGGGCGGTCAAGGCGCTGACCGGAGGAATCGCGCATCTCTTCAAACAGAACAAAGTCTGGATCCTCTCTTTTTCTCTCCTCGTCTGGTTTGTAGGGATGGGACGGTGTTGGGTCTAAATACGACTCCTAGTTCCTCACTATCAAGAGTTTAGTTATTATTCAATAGACCCAGGAAGAGGCATCAGAATAAAAAGGCTTGACACAGAGGATAAGTTTTTCTCAACTGCAGAGGAGGGAGAGACTGTGTGGCCAGAGAATGCCACACATAGAATCTCACCCACATTTCTCTAGCCGTTGATTTTTATTAGACTGATAGTTGCTAAGCAGTGTACATATTATGGGATATGAAAGTATTGGACACTCAAGGTCAATTTCTGTCATACCCTTATAAGGTTTTTCCCGGTAGTTGGCTGTTGTTGCAGCTAGACCTTGGAAGACACAGATGGTAGACAGATGGAAGACAAAACACCGTCCGAACCGTTGGGTTCTGTCTCGGTTCGGTTCGCGTGTGTTGCGTTGGGTTCCTGCTGCTCCTTTTTCTCAGAGGGAAGCGTTTACACTCCAGAGCAGAAGGGGGCGCTACTGCGCCCAAAGCCAACCACCAGTAGGAAACAAGAAGAAGAAGTGAAGCAGCGTAGCCGATAAAAATCAGACGCGCCAACAGCAGTTTCTAGGTCTGCTGTATGGAACCACTTTGCATTTAGAGGAAAGCACATGTTGGAATTAGCACTGTTTCCTCTCTTTCAATGCCAGAATCTCACCTACTTTTAACCTCAGACTGTCACAATAATGTATCAAATGTCAGACTGCTTTTTTCTTTCAGTTTCAACCTCACTATACAAGACATAATAGATTTTCCTAACAATCAACATACACCGAACCGAACCGAAAACCGTGACCACGAAACCGTGAATCGAACCGAACCGTGGATTTTGTGAACCATCCCACCCCTACTGGTTTGATCGTCTTCCCCCCCCCTAAACGAGCGCGTGTTAACCCCTCTACTGTGTGTGTCTTCTCCTCCAGGTAACCCACGTCAACGGTTTCGGGCGAGTGACCGGGAAGAACCAGGTGACCGCCACGGCGGCCGACGGCAGCGAGCAGGTCATCAACACCAAGAACATCCTGATCGCCACCGGGTCCGAGGTCACGCCTTTCCCCGGGATTCAGGTTTTCAATCAATCAATATTTATTTATTTATTTATTTAATCAGGACAGTGCACATTAATGAACAATCTCATACAGATTGTAAATGAGCCAGATTCTAGCATAGTTGCTAGTTTACATCTGTGGTCCTGAGGCAGGAAGAACCAAACAACACAAAATCACAAAATACAAAATCAGTCCAAACACACGTTCAGACAATGACATTACAAAATTTAAATGAATACAATTCAATTTTATTTATATAGCGCCACATCACAACAACAGTTGTCTCACAGCGCTTTCCAAACAGAGCAGGTCAGACCCTACTCTGAAGTTAATTACAGAAACCCAACAATTCCCACCATGAGCAAGCACTAGGCGACACAGGCAAGGAAAAACTTCCTTTCAACAGGCAGAAACCTGGAGCAGAACCATGGCTCAGGGTGGGCGGCCATCTGCCTCGGCCGATCAATCAAGTTTATTTGTATAGCCCTTTACAATACCCAAATGGTACTCAAAGTGCTTTACAACAAAGCCATAAAACAATGCAAAAAAACATACAAAACATACAGAAACAACTAAAAGTGCTGTAGTGGTGCATTAAAAGCCTTCCAGAAGTGCGTAGAAAGGAGCAGACAGAAGGAGGAAACCTAAGAGACCCTAGTCCCAATTAAATG